TAAAATAAAGAGGGAAAAAAAAAATTAAAATTTGGGACAATATGGTCATTTATATACATGTTTCATGATTTGAATTTAAATATGATTTCCCTACGACTTTAAAATTAAATGGCTTTATTTTTGTCAAATGGATTCTGGAACATTTCAGACTGATGTTCAGACACATTATTTCTAAATACTAACATATTCAGTTTTGCTATGATTAATATCAGGATCATCTTAATGTGTTTAAAAGGGAACAAACTGATGTTAAAATAAATATATTTCTGTACCTTCAAGCAAAAAAAGTTGTAGAAATGCAAATTAAAGGTAAATAGAATATCAATACCAAAGATGACTGCAGAGTGTTTCAGCAGCTGGTTTATTCAACATATCGGAGCAGCGATTTGATTCATGTCTGCTTCAAAATGCCATGGGGTGTGTTTGTTTTAGCATCTGTGTCCTCCAAGGACCCGGTCTACCCGGACAGGGTGCTTGGATGTCCGTAATAATAAGGTAGCCGCAACAGTTTATGTCTACGGATTCAAACAAGTCCAACCTTCACTGTCTTTTACCGTCTGTACGTTATGTTGCCTAGCAACCATAACACTTGGCAAAGAATGGATGCCAAACTTCTCACAACTGTTCAAGGTGCAAATTACATTTCTGAGGAGCTTCAGCAGCAGTACGGTCGTCTCAGATATCAGACTATAGTCCCCACACTGTGGTTTATTGACAGGTTTTATCTGTCCCTTTGGAAATGGGTATGGCTGACATTTAAGCTCAGATTCCAACACATCCAATCATCACCCGCCACATATCTGACTCAAACATTTAAAACAACTAGTTTCCTTCATTTGAGATGGAACTGTTCGCATACTTGTGTTCTACTAAACTGCACTTCCAATATTCACCGCTGTTCGGCGCCGTTTCCCTTTTTCCTCTGAGGACGAAGCAGATAACTTGTTTGGACTCGCAATGAATCATGGGATACCCAAGGCTACGGAGGATACAGCGGATCTGTCCTTCAGAGAAAAAACAGACGCATTTGATGGCATAACGATGAGTCTTCCAAACCGACCAGGCCTCGGCGCCGCGCTATGACATAATCAGCAGACAAATCAGGCCTTTGGAGGATGCAGTCACTGAATTTGAACTCAGCAAAGGAGTCAAAGAAACTTCCGAAACCAGTGGGTTTGTGTTTCCTATTATCAGGATGTAGTTTCGTCGCCACCTGCTGGATCGGATGATAAATATGAGTGCAGGTCTGTACATAATTTCTCTAATGAATCCGCAAGTGTTTTTCCAAACACTTTCTTTATGTTGCATGCAAGGAGAAATCTTTAGACAAAGTTTTAACTGAGCCATTTAAAGTTCTTTAACTTTTCAATGTTGACGATATAATTTTAGCTAATTTTAGGTACAGATTTGTTCTAATCCCAGAGCTCAGATTCCATCCAAAATCTCCCTAAAAAACGTAACCTTTCCTGCAAGTTTTGCTTGAATTAAAATTTGTTTCCAGATCTTAAAAGCCTCTATTTTTTAATCTTTCCAATGTTTACCCACAGAAGTTATAAAGTAAGCGTGGAAGCGTATTTCCTGTCTGTTCAGAACAGGTTCTTCTATCCCTGTAGAAGTTAAATTCTCTTTTGTTTGAAAGCTTCTAGTCAGCTGAATTCCTCACCCCCACCCCACCGTTCAGCCAGATGGAGCCTGATGATCTGCCTCCATCAGCAGTCAGAGTCGACTCCCCAGCAGTTCTGTTTGTGTGGAGGATTATAAGCAGCCGTAGCTGTCAAAGACAAAAATGCCTGCATCATGTGTGGATCTGGAGCCGCTGCATCAATTGGTCTGTTTCATTATGAAGGTTCTGGGTGAACACTGAGCTGCTAATGAAGACTCTGTTCAAAAGGTGGAAGGAAACATCTCTTTGTTTGGAAACAGTAAATGTTCTCCGATTTAACCAGCTAGCAGTTAAACAAGAGAACGGATGCTGGATGTCAGTCATCCACATCACAGTCAGGATGTCTGTCCCAAACCAGTCTCAGGTTTCTGCTCTGCAGAACAAAACATCTCGCCTGGTCAGCCAGGCCAAAAGCGACCCTAACGACTCCCTTTTTCAGAGGCATAGGCCAGTATCGGGTATTGCACTCCTCATTAACAAGGGGTGGACCTGTTTATTTGGTTCAATTTGCATGTTTTCTAAGCCACAACAAGTGTTTTGTTGGGCTACCCTGGAGGTCTTCAATAGTGGGTCCATGGAGGTACTGCATTGGTTTTG